CGAGTCTATATGCAATAACCTGTATATTTTAACCGTGTACATACGTGGAATAAGGAGTCACTAGTAATAATGTGGTCCTTTCATAGTATAAAGGTAACAGTTATACTACAATTATTAATTATACCTACGTGCGGACATAACCAGTGTCGTATTTATGTAGGGAGAACTGTAGTAGTTTTCCGCCCCTCGGGGAATTCATTACATATAACTTGTATAAAGGAAAGAAAATAAGTACTTAAATTATGACGATAACAATATATCTTCTATTTATTATTTAAGAATAGGTACTTGGTATCATGATGTCGACAAAGTTTGTTGAAAAAATAAATAAATGTTACTTATGTCAAATAGTTTCAGGATCTAGTATTTCCGAAACTTTCCCAATTATTATTCGATACATTCGGGTTATTTTACTTGGGTGTTGTGGCCTTCTGTGATCATCTGCAGTGTATTTATGATATCGTGATCCCTAATTATTAATGGACCATTCGGTTACATAATATCGTGGTTACTGGTTATATCATATTATATAGCTATAGATGAAGGGATCGACGAGTTAAAATACACAGTAAGCAAAAATACATATTAGAATGTTAAAAAAATGAAAAAATAATTATATATAAACGTTAATATATCACTGGACATAATTAACCGAATCAGGGGCTGGGTGGAACCGAAATTGGGGTTTGACTTTATACTCAATCTTTGAGAGTTTCAAGGTATATTACTGTAATAATATGTCTATATCAGCAGATTATATTATAGAAGTCATCATTAAATCACAGGAGCACGGGACATAAAACGAAATACATTTGAAGAAATTCGTCGAGATTTTTCACTTTTCAATCACATGTACTCTGCCGCACTACATAATTATATGTCAAATATATATTGTAAAGCGCGTATAATAATATTTTGCTTTGTTTTTAATCATCAACTTCGCGAACAAGAACTAGAACGGGTATAATTTAATGCAATATTACGTATATATCGGAGGCGTTATATTGATTTTGAATTCATACCGAGCAGTACGTACACGGTATATTATATTATATCATATTGTCTCTATATACATAATACGTATGTGTTGAGACTGAGAGAGACCTAGTGGTAGATCCCTGGGGGGGGGGGGGGTGAAGAGAAACATTTCTCTGCGGGATCGTCCGCCCGTACGGCGTGCGAGCGGAGGCAAAATCGAGCGTAAAAAGGAAAAAAATAATGTCAGCAAAGACCGTTCAACATTCGTAAGCTCGAGGAGAAAAAAAAAGTGCACTTATGTATAGTTATATACTATGTTCGTGAAAACCTCTCGATGGGAAACCTGCACGTATATGCGTACGTTGGCGCTAGTGCCAGGGTGAGCCCCTCATGCGGTACCTACCCAGCTATATATATATATAAATATACAATATAATATAATATACGGGCACATATAAAATGATTGAAAAGGCGGAGGCGGCGGAGGTCACGTGGGATAAAATCCTTGAGCGTACGCCTAATAAAAAGGAGATAAAAGTGTATTCGACGCGTTCAAGTTTATTAAAAAAAAAAATCGTTCACTATATCATGTTATGTGATGTACATATAGTACATACAAAGTTTTTGGATCGATGTATAGATTAAAGGTGTACGTATAAGTATATCTATTGTATTTATATTTATATATTATATAGTATGGACGAGAATATCAGATACACTCCGTGCTTGAGTTACGCGCAGTCCATATTACTTTTTTTCGCGTTTTCGAGTGATCAACAATTTTCAAAATATTATTGCATTTGTATGCAAACCAGCAGCTTACCTTATCGTGTGTAAATATGATACCATATTATACGGATGCATATTGTAAACAATATCGATCCGGAGTTCGTGTCGCAGGATTAAGTAATTTCAAATATACCATAACCGATGTACGTTTTAGATTCCGAACCAGAGCAAATATTTATTTTTTCGTTTATCGCAGCCTGTCGTTTATGTGTAGTGCGTGAAACTTTATAAATTTCATTTTGACATCTCTATCAATATTGGACCTCGTCATTGTTGGTGGTACCTGGTACCTATATTATTAAACAAAACATTTTCTCTAACATTTTCGTTATTTTTAAACGATTAATAGATATTACACTTTACCGCAGTAAATAATTACCGATATTATAGCAAGATAAATATTATTATTTCTATATATCATATTTTCGTTGGGACATACTATATTTTATTTGTGTACTGTGTTATACTGTTTTTATTAAATTTTAGTTGTAACTGCATAATATAATATACATTATATAATTATATGTACTTAATACTTATATACTTATAGAGTGACTCAAAAAGAACGCTGGATCTTAAAAAGTCGCCTCTAAAAAGTTTTTTCTTATGGGGTACCTCTGCACTAAACCAAGAGTTTACCAGAACAAAGTCTGAAATTTCTAGTAACTGGATATAATGATGGACGTTATTATTTCTCAATCATGTTTATGACATGACGCCACAAATGCACTATGTGCATATTCAATTAAAAATATATTTAATATACCTTATATCTTCATTTATTATAGACACCTCATTATTTAAGCATAATTCTACCAAATCATTATCATTGTACCCGTTGTAAGCACAATATAAATACAACTATTCCTAAATAATTGAGAAATTATTTTGCACAATTTTGACCCAATTATGTATTTGTGCATTTGTGTGTGAGATTTTAAATTAACCCTCTCATAACTTTTATTATCCTAACCATTTAAAAAAAAAATTATTATCTCCATTATTAGATTAGGACAAGTTTATTTAAATACGCCAAACATGATTGGCTTATTATCAATTTTTATAGTTGTACTGCAACACTGCAGTATTATGTTCTAGAATGTTCTGTTTTCTCCCTTCATTTTGTTTACTTTATTCACTTAAATTTACTTAACCAGTATTATTATATCTTATTTGTCAATTTTAATTTATGACATTGTTATTGTTTGTTAAATGTTTATTGTTACATATCTGATATCTACTCGCATATATATCTATGACTTACTATTATTATTGATTCTACTGTATGATGAATTCTCACTTCCACGCAGCCAGTGGTTTGAAATAGTGACCAATTTCTGTAATATTTTGATTATAATATCATAATCTATTGTTAAACTATTTGTTAGAAAATAAATAAATTAATAGAATCATATTTTTTTTTTAAGTTTCATCGATACAAAAAAGAGCCAAGTTGAAAAAGTATGATACTTTATATAACTATAAAATTATATTGCTTCACGATCGAACAAATCGATGTATAGTAAATCTAAATATTACAAATTGAATAAAAAAGTAAGTATATTTTATAGCCGTTAGATTAATGAGATTATGAGATTATACATGTATATATTATTACTGGATAGTGTTAACATTATTTTTTGATGTGCAGCTTTTTATTTATTTTTTTGATCATTCAGAACTTTGACACCTATTTCATGTATAACATGATGTAGCTTAAACTAATTGCTAAAATAAAAATGTATACGCGTGGTGCATTTTGTATCAGCTATGCGTTATATTATTACGCACATTGTGTTACAAGTTACATAGTGTAACATTTAGTTTGTTTTATGAAGAATTACAATTTAACGAACATAAATCATTATATCAAATATATGACCAAGATAATCTGGTATTCAGAGGTTTCACTGTTATATTTTACGACGCAGAAACATTTCATACCTTAAGTTTCCTTTATTATTGGCCCAATTAAACCCGTTTTCATTTGAATACGAAATTCTTTAAAATTATAACAATAACTCATAAGATATATAAGAAAAACGTATTCAGAATCATTACAATACTTAGATTCCGTAATTTTTTGATACTTTTTTCTTTACTTAAAACTAATACCTACTATTTGTCTTAAGCTGCAGTTACGCATGTATATACAATAGTATTATTCAACTTTTAACTTTCCTGCGACTCAGGCTAGCTGAAAGTAATTAATGAAGGTCATTTCATTATTATTTACACCATGAATTCACTGATCTGAATCTATATTAGCTGAAAACCCGTTTTTTTAACAAAAATATGGTAATTATACCAAATGTGTATTAAAAAAATATCCATACCTATAATATGGGTACATTAAATGTTTATTATTAATATTAGGTGATATATATTGAATCTTTATACTATTATATCAATAGAATTGTATTTTTGTGATGGAAAGTTTGTTACGTTATTTCATTCACAATAAAAATTAATAACAATGAACTTGTTAGGGAATGAGTTTCCTGAAATATAAATCTCATTTAAAAACAATTCAATATTAGTATTAAAATGTTGGTTTTAGAATAAATTCGATTGTATATAAAGCTAGGGTACGCGGAGATACTAAATGCGGCGTGAGAAGGCGAATTAAATTGTTATGTACACCGTCACTAGTGCAGCGCAGTATTTTCTATTATTTTTATTTTATATTTCATTTTGCAGCAACCTATTCCACGATAAAGTTAGTTTATTCCGATTTGGATATAGTATTATTAATTTCTAGAAAATACAGTAAAATATGTTTCTACATGAATATTTAGTTAAGGTTTGCGAGCCGTAGGTTATATGGAATGTGTATTTCTATGTATATGGTAGTTGATGTACCTACAGGTAATATTATTTGTTACATTTTTTTTTAATAAAAAATATAAAAACGTTTTCTAGTCTTAGATAAAACGAAGAAAATTTGAATATGGTTTCAAAAAAGATACTACACGTTTGTTTTATTCAATTTGCCAAATGACGGTTGAAATTAATTGTGTTAAAATGATGAGTTCGTTTATTCAACAAAACAAAATTGCAATAAATTACTTAAACATCAAACGAAATACATATTATAAATACATTAAAAATTATTATTATTTAAGAAAAGCTAGACAAATACAGGTAACTATTTAGGGTAAAAAAAAAAATTATTATTATAATAATAATAATAATAATAATAATAATAATAATAATAATAATAAATACGTAAATAAATAATAAAGAAACATTTGTATGAAAACAAGAACACGGCTATTATATTATGATATATATATATACATAATAATTATTATAAGAAGCACATTCATAATGATATATGATATAACTATACTTATACTCATTGACCTTACACAGTTATACTTAGTATAAGATCTATGCATATATATTATATATTACAAATACAGTATATTAAGTATTATAATATGAATTATATAAAATTGAATTTAAGAAATACATGTCATGCATGACGTCTCGCGTCGTTGTGTGTACAATATTTTACAATATTATGATACATTTTATGAACACACAGCGACTGCGATTTATATTCAATCGATACAATATAACGACAATAATAATAATAATAATAATAATAATAATAATAATAATAGTTATGATGGTTCACCACTGATCATTGAAGGTGGAAAAACTTCGCAAACAATGTAGTTTTTTTAAAAAAAAAAAGAAACAGAAGAAACGATAAGACACTTATGTAGTATATTATTATAATATGATATACTATTATATAAGTATATATTAAATATATTTATATATAATATATTTATAACAATGTAATGTAAAAGTGGATACAGGTGCGAGTTATAATATAGTGTAGTATGCGCGGCAATAATTATAGACATTTTTTTTTAAAATTTTTTTTTTTATATGGGGGGTGGAGTGGGTGGTCCGGCTTACGTGAGACTTCCGGACCGGAAATCAGTGTGCTGCGTTTCCTTGTGCCTACGGAGATCGACTTTGCGTTGGAAAGCACGGCCGCACAAGTCACACGCAAACGGTTTGTACCCAGTATGCTTCCGGCTGTGGGTAATTAGATTCGACGACTGGCTGAACGCTTTTCCGCACACCTGACATTTGTGCGGTTTTTCGCCTGTGAACCGAAAAAAGTGATAAACATTTACATAGGTGTAATAAAACGAAAAGTTTAATAACATCGTGTGCATAATATATACGTATACAGGTAACAATAATTATACAATAACTGTCACAAATATGGGAGTATTACACTATATACCTACACGGTATTATAGGTAATGTGTATACCTGAGGTGATTTTTTTTTAATAATCTCAAACTTAAAAGTATTAGCCCGGCATCTGCAATGGTCGTTAGTTATAGTTCGATAATTTACAGCTATTTACAAGTACGAGGTAATTTTGGTTGTAGACTGAAGTGAGAGCAACGACTGCTGCAGACGCTTGTTTTTATTTGACGGTTAGATATGATTCTTGATGACATTTTATTGTTAACGCGATGAGGAATTTTATAATATATGATAATTATACAATATCGATAAAAACATTTCGCAATCAAAGTATTTATCGAAAACTTTGACTTCATCCTAAAAATGTGCGTTAAATTAACAGGAAGTGAATGCGTATGTGCCTATATAATATATAGGTACATGTAAGACTTTCAATTTACATACGAAGAATTAAATATTATTATATTATTATAATTTTAAATTATAAACTTAAATATTCTATACCACGAAATTATAAATCAACAACGTAGTTTTTATTTCTTATTAATTATACTATAATAACTATATATATCTATAACATCCTAAATATTTAAAATTAATAATAATACGATAATACGAGTATAATGATAATTAATAATTAATATTTTTTTAAATCGTTTGGATACTATGAGAGAAGCGACTTGGTGATAAATAAAACTATTAACTATACCCATAAAGGCATAAATACATTTTCTTTTGTACTTTATGCGGACTGCACAACATTTTACTCCTCTTAGCAAAACTTTAAAAGATATTTTGTGTTCGACATTATATATTCATACTTATTATTTTCTTAGAAAACTATTCTTTATCACAATATTTTAAACTATAAAACAAGACTAATATAGCCATTTAAGTGCATACAAAATTGCGATTTAGGTTTACAACGTACGTAAAATAATAGAAAACTGCACTGTACTGATAATATTTTTTAAAATAATTTTATGTATAATGTTATAACTTAAAAGTTATAAGTATATCTTTAAAATGTAATACAAAAAAATATTATATAGGTACCTACATATACATATAAAGTTATATTTTTGTGTAGTAATAAGTGCACTAAAGTATATAGTATATACAGCGTGGCACCAAAAACGATATCAGATGCAAGAATTGACTTACAGCACACGGAATGGTTGCAGGGAGAGTATTGGTTTGGTTGAGTTATTTATGTTGAAAAAGTCTAATAGAAATAGAACTTTGAACGTTTTCAAAAAGTGTAAAAAGTGAGAATAAGATATATCTTGATAATACTGGGGTTCTCCGAAATCCTCTCATATTTAATAAACCTATTAATTGTTAACTAAGTTGCCAAGTGGATCACAAATGATATAATTTTCTCCACTTTGTAGACGACATAACATTTTCCTTAAAATTGAATTTAAACTCGAAATTTTTACAACCCGGGTGGAACTTATAGAGATCTTAACCGCTTAATGTAGACAAAATGAATGCCATGCCACTTCATGAATTTCTCCTCTTGACTATTAATAAAGCTCTTACAATGGCAATGCCCCTGACCGTGATTCCTTATAAAGTTATTTTTATTAATTTTTTCCTATCATTGGACTTAAAGAATCATAAAAATACCATTGGAAATGCATCGATAGTTTTGGAATTTATAAAAAGTAGTACCGACCAGTTCACATCTACTAAGGTCCCTAATATAGTTGTGTGCGGACACTATACCTACACTTGAAGTATTAGTTCGGTCTGTACTAGATTATAAACTGATAGTATTAACATCCTTAATATATTCGGCTAAGAATGATGTAAGGCTCGAGCGTGTTCAGAATAAGATACATCATCCGGATAATTAGATCATATTAGACATGATTAGTCATTCATACAGAGTATGTAAGGAATACTGATGCCAATATCGTCTTGTCAATAAGATGCGAACGTGCATTTTATTACTTATCTCCATTTTCATCAATTGCACTTTAGCCCCATTTGATCCTTTCTTCAACATTATCTCTTATTGTTCCATTTTCTCCACATTATCTTTGTTATATACTTACCAACTCATCACTTTTGAATACTTAAAAAATCATGTCTCGATTTAAATGTGTAAATAGATTTTTATTAGTTGTAAGTAGGTGCGTATTATTTTAGCAGTATAATTTTATCTTAGTTATATATTGAGTTGTCTATTTGCTTTTTTCTCGCTGTTTGTGTATAGGTATATATTATATTTATAATGTATACATATAGTTACTTGATATTAGTTATATATTTATATATTTCCTACAGTCTGGAATTAATTAGTACATTATGTAATGTTAATTATAAATGAATAAACACTGGATGTGGCTTGGTTAGGTGTGGTACTGTGGTCAGGTAAAAATAAATTTAATTAATTTTTAACAATCTTAAAATATATTAAAATTATGTATACCTATTCAATATTAATATGCATCCTACATATTTTTATATCTTTACTTTGGCGCCACCACAGGCTGCAGACACTATAATAATATAGCTATACCTATATAATATTATATTATTATATAACGATGCGAGATGCTGTATTTAAAAATCACTCGTGGTTTTATAACAACAACATAATATTTACGACGAAAACACCCATCGAATCGTTGTATAAAACCGTAAGAAATGACATTTTCGTAAATAAAAAAAAGATTATTTTTTTTTATTTATCTATATTATTACACGGCGAGTATATAGGTATATGGCATACCATCATATACAGGCGTATATATATAATACGCGAATCATGGCGGTCGTGAATAAAAACCAAATCCATAATAATATTATATGTCCACGTGATTCACTATACAGCTATATTCTGCAGAGCATATATATAAGTATACGTGAATTTTGAAAGAAAATCATATACGTTTATTTAGTATGGATATTGCCGTGGCGTATTTATGTACTGATTGATGATTGCAGGGAAGTGCATCATTCACGGAGTATTATTAAATAGAACCATCCAGCCCTCGAGCAGAGCTTATAACATTCCTACATCGCATTCGCATACGCTCCGCCACGCCGTATATCGTATATGTACGTACTATACAGAATTAGGGGTATAATAAAATCAAAATTAAAACTTTTACTACAGTTAAAAGAAATCTCTGGGGCGCTCTATAGTAGCAGGTGATCCACCACCTTGAATCGCAAGTGGAGTATAGCAGGTGATCTATATTTAGTTGGTATTTTTTTATTTTACAGTGAAGTATATTGAAAATAAAATGATTGTGCCTCGATCATTAGGAACACAATGCACACGCCTCGTTAATTTCATAAGGCGTCGAAATCACTTAAAAATGTGTAGATTCTCAAACATCTATATCTCAAAATAATTCTTCTTAAAATGCACGAGGCAATGATAGTGATAATACAAATAATCTTTAGTGATTATCAACAGTCGAAGAAGTTAGTTATAATAATAAATTAGTTATCAAGTAGCACTAAAAAGTAAAAACTGCATAGCCGAAATTAATTCAAACTAACATATTATAGCCACATATGACACACGTAGGTTAGGTTAAGCACAGTTCGTGGTTTAGGTAACAACTCGTGGATATTAAGTTTTTACAAAATATTTTACCGATATTTTTAATCATTTAACTTGGGTTCACGTCAAGCTATTAATTATTATATTTATGATTCATCTGCGGTACAGATCCGTGTAAAATTAAGTAATATATTATACGCATTACGCATGCCTATATCTATAGTATCTATATGCACACAGCCATATAATGGCCACATCTCATCAACATTTTGGCATAAATAAGCGTATATTTATTTATGTAGACCGCGGGATGCGGTGACGACGCGCTCGCGGTCCTGCAGAGGTATTCGACTGCCCGGGGATTTTCACGTTCGCCGCACACACATAATATTATATATACGTATATCGGCGGCGGCGGCGGTGGCGGCGGCGGCGTGATTGAACGGTATATAGAAGCCCCTAATGAAGTTCTCCGCGGCGGCTGCGGCGGTTGCCGCTCCGAAACCGTTACCATGGTTACGATTGCAGACGCCTTTCCGCCGCCGCCGCAGCATCCCGCCATCTGCAGCACCGCCGCCGCCACCGCAACTACTACACCGCGCCCGCTCTCCGTTCTTTTCGCGACGCACGCCGAACACAAACGGTCCGCGCACACAAGCGCGCACATTACACGCGGATTACAAGTCGCGGCGGTTGTGTGCGCGCGCTCGAGTGTCAGTGTGTGCGTGTGTGAGCTGTTGCCCGAATGGGTGGAGTCGGTGCGCGGCCAATCACTGCACCCAACCGAGGTTTCTATTATTGCCACCGCGCTGCAGCCCGCCGCTCGCCGACCGTATCACGCCGCCCCGCCGCCGCAGCGACCGATCGACGGTCACCCACCCCGTGGAATTTCGACCCGCCGCCGATATTTCGTAATATTATAATTTAATATATTATTGTAAATTAACTATATACCATAGTATGTGAATGCAGATATAACGGCCACGGGAGAATAGTCGTTCCACATTGTAGATAATATATATTATATATATAACTCACGATAATCATATTATATATATAATATATATATATATAGGCTGCAGGTGTATAATAGAGATACCTCGAGCAGTGATGTATAAAATAATGTATGTAGGTATAGTGTGGTTGGGTGGTTGTAACTTGTAGGGTGTGCGTAGGGTGCTTTCAACAGTATTAGGTATTTCTAAGGCGAAGGCTGCAGAGACGTAGGTATATATAGTTACTGGTATCGTACACATTAGCTGCGACGACATATTGTAAGCGAATCGCGGAAAAAAAACCAATGGAAAATAAGCACAAAATTAGGAGTAGAGTATTGGTATATATTGTGTTCACATTTATAT